CGAACGTGGACGATCCGGACTATTCAGAACTCGGTTGATATTAAATAATCAGCTCGGAAAACCTGCTATATTTATATTTATCTAATGCACATCCACGTGTCATCCTATTATCAATCGAGGCCAAATTGTGTATCAACAAGAGGCCCCCGACTTTAGGACATGTTCTGAACAGAACTGTCCTGAAGTCGCGTTTTAATACGATTTGGCAGACTTGTGCTATAATTTTTTGAGCTTGAGACTCTTCATGTTGAGATAGATAGCATTCATGCAATACATAAGATTATAGTACCATGTCTTTTTCTTATAGAGATCATCGAATGGATATGTGTCGATATATAATTTCAGGGTGCTTTGGGACCCTCAATCATCATGTTGATCGTTCTCAGGCATGGGCCTGCCGTCTTGTATTTTAGTCGTGTTTTATGCTCTCGGATGAGCTAAGTCGGTGAAATGGATGGACAATTCTTCGGAATTGCTATTGAATGGGGCCTAAGAGGCCTAGTCGGGTAATTTGGTACCCATATCATGTTTTGCGCGCGGTATTAAACGTTTGATTGATCTGCTCTTGTGTTGATGACAACGATATGGAATTGTGTGGGCATTCGGGCCCCGTGAGTTATAATTGATGTACGCGAAGACGTTTGATGATATGATTCGTTTAACGATTTTAAGTTAACCGTATCATCTCATTCGCTGTTTTGTCGAATTGAGATGATGCTATTTTTTGATTTTCGTGATTGTTTTTTGTGTAAGGTGGACTTGGTCGGATTATTCGGTATCCGGTTTTTAGTCTTATTTTTACTTGGTGATTGATTTTATGATCGGCCCTGTTGGGCATTTGTAGTTTTAGGGCATTTCGGCCGTACCAAATCAACTTCAGGATTTGGCGTAAGAATGAGTGTTTGCCATACCAAATCAACTTCAGGATTTGGTGTAAGAATGGGCACAAGTCGTCTCGGCCGAAGTCGGACTCAACGGCGAGGGAATATAGACGTCAACTCAGCCGGAGTCGGACTCAACGGCGAGGGAATATAGACGTCAACTCAGCCGGAGTCGAAACTCTACGGCGAGAAAATATGGACGTCGGCTCAGCCGGAGTCGGTGCTCAACGGCGAGAAAATGTGGACGTCGGCTCAGCCGGAGTCGATGCTCGAC